CCACACCCCTGATCTTACGGTAGGAAAGATCTACACGTAGCTGTCTCGGACAAGGGTGAAAAACGTCGAAGGTCCCATGTGTAAGCTGCGCATGTTAAAGATCCCTTGGTGTTCCAAAAATCGATAAGAGTAGGCTTCGACCGCCACCGGGGCAAAATTCAAAAATTCCTACCAACTGAATATAATTAAGGTGTCCCGCACGCTCATATGACCTTATGCAGTTGCGAGCGCCGTAGAACACTTTCACCCCCCCCCCCCTTCCCCCCGCTCCACTCATGTACATGTAAGACTTCGTATTTCTATTCCTGTACACAAAACTTATGTACATGAATCCATTTTTCTACTTATGTACATGTAAACACAACTCATTCCAAACCGCGCCCTATCCCCTCCCGAGGGGGTGGGGTGCAATGCTACTGACTGACGTGCCTTTAGGCCATTCCCAAAGGCGGGACATTAACATGTTCTTATGCTCTGCAGAATTGTAAATGGGCTGATTCATCAATGCCATTCTCATAACTGTGCCTGAACTGCAACAGGGAACAGCTGCTTTTTCTTTCCTAATCCTTACTATCGTCATGTTCCTCTACTGTGCTTGTCACACTCTTGTGACCCGATATTTCCGGGGTGCCTTAATAGTCGAAGCAGACTTTGTGCCGTTGAAGCTAGAGAGGTGAGCAGAGTAAGCCTGATTCCCTGCATGGACTTCTCTGGTGACATCCACGCCTTGGCGCTCCTATGACCTAATGCAGTTGCGAGCGCCGTACAAACGCGACGCAAAACAAACCGCGCGCTCATCGTTTTAAACAATGTTCTCATTAACGACATTTTCTAGTGCTCATTTGCCTATCAGTCTGTAGTTTTGGTCAGTTTTACGACGCTTGCAACAAAATCAATAAGCCATACAAGAGTCAAAAGCCAGAGCCAGAGGTTTTACCAGAGAGTAACACGAACAAAATAGGGGAGGGGAGTTTAGGACGATATATATTTTGACAGTTTAGGAGGAGCAAATCACACAAGAGCACTCGCCAACCACCCATAGTCAGTCTATATCTATCACTATTTCATTTTTCCTGAACTTTGCAACCTCTCTCTCCGT